TTTTTTTTTATTTTTTTTTATTATCACACCGGCCGATTCCCCCCAAGGCAGGGTGGCCCGAAAAAGAAAAACTTTCACCATCTTTTCACCCCATCACTGTTTGCCAAAGGGGTGCTTTACACACTTTTTTTAACTGAAACATTAACACCCCTCCTTCAGAGTGCAGGCACTGTATTTCCCATCCCGGGCTAAAGTCCGGCCTCCCTTTTCCCCTGAACCCCTTCAAAATTTTACTTTGCTCAACCCCCAACCCACGTCAAGATTAAAAAAATTTGTCCCCATTCACCCCTTTTCAACACGCTCACGCATGCCGCTGGAAAGTCCAAGCCCCTCGCAACAAAACTCCTTTACCCCCCCCCTCCCCCCTTCCCCTGGGCCCGCCCCTACCCCCCTTTCCCTTTCCCACTAAGACTGTAACTCTTAAAGTCTTTTTGTTTGCTCCATTCTTCTACATGTCCGAACCACCTCAACAACCCTTTCGCCCTTGGACAACTTTTTTGGGGTAATCCCGCACCTCCCCTAACTTCCAAACTACAAAATTCTCTGATTATATTACACCACATTGCCCCAGACATACACTCCCACTGCCCCCAGCCTTCTTCGCTGCAACTTTTCATCACCCACGCTTCAACCCAAAAAAGGGTTTTAAAAAACATACCTCTTACTTTCCCCCCTCTTTGCCTCCAAGGACAAATTTTCTTTGTCTCCACAGACCCCAAAGTGCCCCCTCCTCTTTTTCCCCTCATCAATTCTTGTTTACCTATTTTTCATGCCCCCCGTGACACGTCCCCCCAAAATATTGAATACGTTCACCTCCTCCATACTCTTCCTCCAATCTGATATTCAATCTTTCACACCTAATTTTTTTGTTACCTATCCTTTCCCTTTTTCCCTGTATTCACCTTTAATTTTCTTTTTTTCAAAATACCAAATTCATCCACCAATCTCTGCAACTTTCTCCAGAATCTCCCAAGAGCACAGTGTCATCAGCAAAGAGCAGCTGTGACAACCCCCATTTGGGTTGATTCTTTTTTTTAACTCACGCCTCTTGCCAAGCCCTGATTTACTTCTCTTACAAACCCCATCTAAAAATAAAAAAACAACCACGGTGACATAAACACATCCTTTTAAGGCAAATTTTACTGGGAAAAAATTCCCTCTTTCCTACATACCCTTTCTTGAGCCTCATATCCCCGTAAAAAACTCTTCCCGCTTTCAGTAACCTACCCCTACACCATCATTGCAACATCTGCCCCATTGCCCCCCCCCCCTCCACCCCCTTTATACCCTTTTTCCAAATCCATAAATGCCCAAAGACCTCTTTTCCTTATCTAAAAACTGTCACTATTGTTTCACTGTAACCCTGGTCCACACACCCCCCACCTTTCCCAAAACCTCCTTGTTCATCTGCTATCCCATTTTCCCTCTTACTCTTATTCTTTCAATTAAAACTCTACCATACACTTTACCCCGGTACACTCAACGACTTATCCCCCTAAATTTTTGCCTCTTTTTATCCCCTTTGCCTTTATACAAAGGAATAGCTGCTCCCGCCCCAGGACCTTACCCTTTCCATACATTTATTAAATATTGCACCAACCACTCCAAAACTTTCCCACCTGTTTTTTAAAATTTCTTCTTTATCCCCTCAATCCCGGTGCCCCACCCCTTTCTTTTTCCTATGCCTCCAACTTCCCCCACACTCAAAACTGACTCTTCCACTCCAAAATGTTTTTTTCCTCCTTGCCCCATCACGAAAACACAGCTTCCCATCTTCATCAACATTTAAAAATTCCCCAAAATATTTCCTTCCCCTCCCAATACCCCTAACCTTTCCCTTTTAAAAAACTTCCTCTCCTATTTTTAACTGACAAAACCATTTGTTCTCTGGCTTTTTAACTTGTTAATCTCACCAAAAATTTTTCTTAATTTTTAACAAAATTTTTTGATAACATCTCACCATCTCTCATTTGCTCTCTTTTTACATTTCTCACCACTCTTTAAATTCTCTCTTTTCTCCATATACCCTTTCCCCCCTTTTATCACTTTACTTTGTAAAAAATTCTCATATGCAACTTTTTCTCCCTTTTCTACTCTCTTTACATATCTTCCCCCAAAGCCTTCTTCCCTCCCCGCACCCACTTTCCTGTAAACCCCAACTTCTGCTGAAACTTAACATACATTTTTAAAACCCACCCCATACCCCTTCGCCCCATTGCCCATCTCTCATTAGCCCCCTATCCCCAATATTTTATATCTTACCCAACTGCCTCCTCTTTTAGTTTATAAACCTTTACCTCTCTTCCCTGATGCTTCTATTTTCCTTAAAACCCATCTACCTTTTACTCCGTGTACTACAACAGAAAATGTCTGTATACGTGGCCCCCCTTTTAAAACAGGACACCTGAAGTCTCTCAAAAAGTCTTTTATTACAATACATTCCCAACAAATAAATTTTCTTTTTCGCCTCTCATACGTGTATATTAATTTATCCCCTTTTTTTTTAAAAAATTTTATTTTCCTATAACTAAACCCCTTTTATCAAAGTTCAATCAAAGGGCTCCCATTTCATTTTAACCTGGCACCCCCAAAATTACCTACCACACCCCTCTAAAAGTTTTCCTACTTTTGCATTCAAGTCCCCCCCACAAATTTTCTCTCACTTGGTTCAAAGGCTCCCATACATTCACTTAAAAACTCCAAAATCTCTCCTCTCCTCTGCTTCCTCTCTTCTCCGGGGCATACACGCTTATTATGACCCCCCTTCTCGATCCAACCTTTTCTTTTAAACCACAAAATTTTTGAAATTTTCACTTTTATATTTCCCTTTTTTCCTTCTAACTGTCATTTAAAAATTACTGCTACCCCTTCCTTTTCCTAACCCCTCAAAACTCGTTTAATCCATTTATTTCCCCCCCCTGAAACCTCCTACCCCCCTTTAGCTTTGTTTTGCTTGGGCCAGGACATCCATTCTTTTCATTATAACTCACAACATCTGTTTTTGTCATCCGCATAAACCCGACATTTAAACAACCCCCTTTTATAAAAGTTTTTTTTCTTCTTTTTTTATTAAATTTTTACAGGGGAAAGGGGGTTTTAGCCCTTTTCTCCCCCGGGATTTTAGTCGCTCATAGAAAGCATGGGTTTTCGGAGGAAAGATTCTTTTCCCCTTCCCCCTGGACAAAGAAGAAATAAAAAGAACAAAGGGTTTGAAAAAAGGGGAAAAAACCAGATTATGTATATATATATATCATGTGCGTGTCTAGAAGTGTGACCCAAAATGTAAGTAGGAGTCAAGAATCCCCTTTTCTTAGCGTGTTTAGAGACAGAAAAAGAAACCAGAATCCTACCATCATGCAAAACAGTTACAGGTTTTTGTTTCACAGTCATCTGGCAGGCGGTAGTACTTCCCCGGGTGGTTGTGTCTCCCAAAACCCATACCTATATACTACCTATATACTACCTAAATATTATGCAGAAAATTTGGAGTGTGGAAATTAGGAGAAGGTGTGGAGTTAATAAAAGTATTAGTCAGAGGGCTGAAGAGGGGTTGTTGAGGTGGCTTAGAGAGAATGGATCAAAGTAGAATGACATGGAGAGCATTTAAATCTGTAGAAGGAAGGCAGGGTAGGGGTCGTCCTAGAAAAGGTTGGAAGGAAGGGGTAAGGGAGGTTTTGTGGGCGAGGGGCTTGGACTTCCAGCAGGCGTGCATGAGCGTGTTCGATAGGAGTGAATGGAGACGAATGGTATTTGGGACCTGACGATCTGTTGGAGTGTGAGCAGGGTAATATTTAGTGAAGGGACTTTTTATATAGCTGGACTTGAGTCCTGGAAATGGGAAGTACAATGCCTGCATTCTAAAGGAGGGGTTCGGGATATTAGCAGTTTGGAGGGATATGTTTTGTATCTTTATACGTATATGCTTCTAGACTGTTGTGTTCTGAGCACCTCTGCAAAAACAGTGATTATGTGTGAGTTAGGTAGAAGTGTTGAATGATGATGAAAGTATTTTCTTTTTGGGGATTTTCTTTCTTTTTAGGTCACCCTGCCTCGGTGGGAGATGGCCGACTTGTTGAAAAAAAAAAAATTCGGGGAAACTGGTTATTTTTATTTAGCCGGACTTGAGTACTGGAAATGGTAAGTACAATGCCTGCACTTTGAAGGAGGGGTTTGGGATATTGGCAGTTTGGAGGGATATGTTATGTATCTTTATACATGCTTCTAAACTGTTGTATCTGGGTGCCACTGCAAAAACAGTTATGTATGAGTGAGGTGAAAGTGTTGAGTGAAGATGAAAGTACTAATGTATTTTCTTTTGGGGGGGGATTTTCTTTCTTTTTGTGTCGCCCTGCCTCTGTGAGAGATGGCCTACTTGTTGAAAAGAAAAAAATGTATTTATGATTGTTTTGTGTTTGTAAAGCTATAATTATTCTTTCAAAAGATTTAATTTTTTTTTTCTCTAAATTTTTTGGTGTCTGGAATGGATTAATTGGATTTAAATTATTTCTTATGGGAAATATTTCTTTGACTTTCGAAAAAGTTTAGTTTCAGCCAATCTTCTGGAATGGATTACGGCCAAAACTCGAGGTTCCACCGTACCTTATAGTTGTACACAGCCTCTCCTCACTGAACAATGGAGTTCCGTTCCTAAGATCACGTCAGTAAACAAATTTGTTGCTAAGCATGGAGCATACTATAATGGTAGTGGCTTTGTCGACCATCTTTGATATTGTTTTAATGTCACCTTTGCAACATTATAACATTTTTAGTGCATTTTTAAATGGTTATACAGTAGTGTACTGTATATTGTAATAAACAGAATAGAAGAATTTGGCTCTAATATACATTATTTAGGTATGCATACTGGTCAGAGAGCCTGTCGTAAGTTTGAGTCATCGGTAAACAAGAATGTCACTAAGTGAGGAGAGGCTGTATATAACTTTTATTTTGTATTTAGATTTTCTTGTGTAGTTTCATTAGAAATGTCTAATTTCCCTCAGTGCATAAAGCATGAACTTGGAGAAGAATACCTCAAGGCCTTGGCTAGTGAACTAGCTAACTCACAAGACCAAGGCCATAACCTAAGCCTCAACTACAGCCTTGATACATCTCTCCTGCCAACCACTCTAAGCAAAACTGTGATACAGTCAGTCATCTTGTCTGTTAATAAAGATGCTGAATATCAACAAAAATGTAAGTGAACTTCTTAAATATTTTTATTATTTTTTTCTAATTTTATCACCTCATTTCCCATTTTCTTTGTGAGCACCTTCCCAGGAAGTGTGGAAAGACTTTGAAAGTAAATCAGTAAGGGCAATACTCCAAGTAAAGTATAGAAGTTAAAAACGTTTAATTTTAAGACGAAAAAAATATGTCACTATAGGCTTTCAACGTAAAATATTCAAATGTGATTAATACTTCTACACAAGATACTGATAATAGCATCTCAAGTTTTATGACTTAAATTTACAAGATTTTGTTGACTCGAAACAAATATTTGATAGCAAATATTTGCCTTCTAAAAGTTTCATCCACTTTTGACACTTTTATACATGTATTGAGAGCAGTCTATAGTCTAAAACCCCTCAAGGGAGGTTCCTTGATGCTGGTGAAGGGCTCTTGATCTAGGGAATTGAATCTGTGCTCCAGTTCCCTGAATTGAGCCTGAATGCTTTCCATCCCTCCCCCGATGTGCTGTATAATCCTATGGGTTTAGCACTCCCCCATGATTATAGTAGTAGAATAGTCTAAAACCTCTCGATTCCATTTTGTTTACATAAAGCACAAGAACATGGTCTGCTGGATACATTGTTTCACCACATTCCTGTATATGTCCACATGCCCATTCAGCCCCACATCCTAGACTAGACAAGTCAAAATGGGCCAGGAGTGTAGGAACCTTATTCACTAATCTGCTAAATTGAAAATAATTTCCATTAGAGGAATGACAGTTGCACCTCAGTCAAATGGTGAACTAAGAATCCTCTAAGTAAGTTTCCCATATGATGCATTTGTCTTTATACAAGTAAAATGTTTATTATGCAGTTTAGTCCTTTGTGTTTTTGCATTTCACATTTGTTACCTTATTTCATTTAGATATTTTATTGACTGTCCATAAAACTCGAATTGTATTAAACTAGTTTTAGTTGAGTAAAGTTTCAAACTTTGATATAGATTTAATTGATAAGTTTTCAGTAAGTGTTTTCTAGATCATAATACAGCCTGAAAAGCAATTTTGATAGTGCAAATGCAATACTTTCAACTGAACATACCTGCATTGTTCATATACATGCAGTATAGAAACCCCAAAAATCTCATCTGCAGTGCCTCCCTTGGTTAACTAATCTTCTGTTTACAGTGACAAATGGAGTTGCAGCTGTAAATCAAGGTTTGGCTCGTGGGTCTCCAGGAGACACACTTAGGGCATTGCGATCATTAGGTTCAGATCTTCCCACATTACTAGACTTCGCTGCACCACTCTACCATGAAGAGATGGCTGCAATTCGTTTGGATGCCCAGGTGAGGATGATGTATTCTTAAAATGTTTAATTTTGGGGGGTAAGAGGGTGTAAGGAGTTGACCTGCTTGGTGCTAAATAGCCAATTAAGAAACTTTCAGCTGACTGATGGGAGATAGTCCTGTTGTATTTACTTCAAACTCCTGTAAATGGAAATGCCTTCCACTGTCATTTTTTCACTTTTGTGTCTTCTTATATAATGTTAGGTTACAGTGAATGGAGAAAAATGGTTTTTAGGGTTTGACATACTGTTGTAGTGTGACCAAGGTCTTAAGGGATTCAGGGAAACAGGTTACCTGGACTGAGTCCTGGATATGGGACGCGCAGTACTTTCACTCGAGGTTAGTGAAAAACTTAAGTGTGGCAGTTTTTTCCAGGGGTTTGAGTCTTCTCTCCTGCACCCACATCAGGGGGCAGGTGTAGGGAAGGGACTCTTACCCCTGCACCTGCCTTTTCAGGAGGTGGATTTAAGGGACTCCTGTACCCACCTGGTCAGAAGGTGTGTGAGATGAATAACTCCTGCTCCTGCACCTACATGCTTCAATTACCTGTGACCCCTAAACTGAAAATCAATTGTAAGATTTTGTTTAAAATGTTATCATTGTATTTCCCATACATAAATATCTGAATATTCTTTCTAAGGAGTATCAATTTTAGTGAAATTAAAGCAATATTTAGAGATGCCTCTAAAACACAAAATGAGAAAACTGAAAGAAATTTTGTGTGGATAGAATTTAGTGGTATTTGGGGATTCTGAATTGATGTGAGAGGGGGGTCACACTAATTTCTTTGACCCACATTTCAAGAGTAGGTAATTTCAGACTGACCTAAGCCTGGAGGAAATACAAGGTGGTGTAAGGTTGCTGTCGGCTGTAGCTCGAGTTAATGCTGCCCTTGATACAAATAATCCTGTAGAAGTGTGGCATTATCTCTCAGATTCTCAAACACATTTACAGGTAAGATTAAAGTGTTCATAGCTTAACATTATGTAAAGATTTTGGACACTTAGTAAAGTTGCTAGTTCATTCATTATTTTCAGTTCACATTTTTGCTACCTGGGAATAATTTTGTTTGAAGATTGACTTGCCTGTTTTGCATATGATCAGAGAGAAATGGATGGAGTTGTAGGTAGGTAGATCCCAATATAGTGATTGTATGCATCACTAGACAGTTTTTTCATTGACTTTATCTTCCTGCATCTACACATGATCAGAAATACTTTCATAACACTTAGCTTTAGATTTTGTAGGGTATTGAACAACTTTCAAGCTTGATTGGGTAAGATGAATAAAAGGTGCTTTTGGTAATTTGTCATGCTGTTGAGTGTGAGCAAAGTAAAATTTAAGGAGAGATTCATGAAACCTCTTAACCAAGGTTGAGTTAGGAAAGTAGTAGTAGTGGGTAGAGATTTTGTGGTTCAGAGGGTCATTTGAATTGGGATGTTTGTGCACTTCTGCCAAGACTTCTGTTGAATTGATGTTAATTTTTTCTTTTTGGGGAAATGATGTACAGTAGGGCCCCACTTACACGGCAAGTTATGTTCCAGGCTACTACCGCAAAGCAGACATCACCGGAAAGCAGAACGCCTTTTTTTTTCCACTTACAACTTCATATAAATGCCAGATAGCAAGTTTACACTAACATATATTAAGTTAGCAATAGAGCTAGGCATTAAAAAACAATGAAAAGTAAAATACACACAAAGTACACTCATTATTTACCTCAGAATATTTGTAGTCTTAATGTAGGGCAAAAGGTGAGTAGTATTTATTGTAAGAAGTCAGGTTTGGGAAGGTATGGTAGCTCCCTGGCCACCCCACCCACACATAATATACTATGACGCTTAAAGCGCCCTAGAGTGATAAAATGCATATACGGTACACTCATTACTTACCTTAGTGTTTGTAGTCTTAATGGTCTATATGTAGGGTGAGTGCTGAAAAGTATTTACTTGTAGAAAGTCAGGTGTGGGTGTGGGAGGTTGGGTAGCCCTCCTGGCCACCCCACCCACTATGTAAACAAACGGATGAAGCGTTTGGTTATGGTTCATACATGTTCATACAAACACACTATGTATAAGTTGTCTCCATAGTGGTACAGTAGAATAAAGAAAGACCAACACTTCCATTCTCATGTAACTTCAATTTTAGAAGGAATCATGCTCTGACAAGTTAGTAAATAAACAGCAACACTCCCATTCTTATGCAACACACCATTTTTAGAGTGAATGATATTATTATGCTTAGTGATTTTAATGTGTACCTGCATGCCAGCACAGTAAGTATATTTAGGTACAGGTACACATAAGTATAATTGATATCAGAGTGCATATAAAATATGCAATAACTTTAAAATGCTTGAAATTTTGGAAAATTTCCAGACAGAGAAATGTGCTCATGAATGTAAAACCGGGTTGGGCACGCCATATTAGAAAGACCACTTGCTGTATAGAAAGTTTTGGTCATAATTTGAAATCGCCATATTAGCGGAACGCTGTGCAGTGGGGCCCAAATGTATACCTACCTTTGAGTTCTGAGTTTTTCTACTCCCAGAACCTGGCTTTGCCGTAAAAAAAATTTGTGTAACTACATGGGACTGTAATTCTCTTATGGAGAAAATAACACTAAGTTTACTGATAAGATTTACTAGCACATATGAGCTCAGCCATCATTGTTCCATTTAGTGCAAAATTAAGCCACAATTAAAACATTGCTGAGAATTTTTGATGTATTATATTATATCATTTGCACTTCATTATGTATTAATATTTAGGTAGTGTAAACTTAATTTTACTTTTTTTTATATTTCTTCAATTTTATTGTTTAGGCTTGCCTTTGTATGAAAAAACAGTTTAGGAAGCAGTTTTTTAGAGCTATTCATAGATTTTTGTTAGACTGATGAATATATTGGTCATCTATCTACTTTATAAATTTTATTTCTTAGCTGTTAAATTTCTCTAACTATTGAATTTACCCGAGTTGCTTCAATGATGACCTTTCCAGAGCCTAGAAGAGGGTCATTTTCGAGAGTACTGTTCTGCAATGGATAACGCACGGCTATTGAAGATAGCATCTGGGGATAATTACCCTTTTCTTACATACATTGATCTCCAACAAATTGTAGATGAAGTTAACTTGAAGCACTCTGAAGATAACAGTAGTAAGTTTGAATGAAGTTTTTGATTTACATCTATGACTATTCAGTACTCATTTTTCTGCTGGGTGTGATGGTACAAGCACTACAAATTCACATAAACTAAGTAGATTTTCAGTGCTGAATGTATTTTCTTTAGGTCTTCTACTTTGCGGAGATATACCAGATATCTTTGAGTATTAACAAAAATTGCTTTGTATGCAGATTAAATCTGTATTATATATTATGAATGGATTTATCTGGATTAAGCTCACCTTGAGTATAATGTAAGTTGTGGGGAAAAAATAAAAACTGGAGTTAAGTTGGGAAAGTTAGGGAAGAGGTTGGTAGACAGCAACCACCCAGGGAGGTACTACCGTCCTGCCAAATGAGTGTAAAATGAAAGCCTGTAATTGTTTTACATGATGGTAGGATTGCTGGTGTCTTTTGTCTGTCTCATAAATATGCAAGATTACAGGTACGTCTTGCTACTTCTACTTACACTTAGGTCACACTACACATACATGTACACGTTTATTTATACACCTCATCTGAGTTTTCTTTGATTTTATCTTAATAGTTCTTGGTCTTATTACTTTTCCTTTTATATCCATGGGGAAGTGGAATAAGAATCTTTCCTCCGTAAGCCATGCGTGTTGTAAAAGTCAACTAAAATGCTGGGAACAATGGGCTAGTAACCCCTTTTCCTGTAAAGATTACTAAAAAGAATAAGAAGAAGAAAATTGTCTAAGTGGGAAGTCTGAATGTGCGTGGATGTTGTGCAAATGATAAGAAAGAGATGATTGTGGATGTTATGAATGAGAAGAAACTGGATGTCCTGGCTTTAAGTGAAACAAAGCTGAAGGGGGTGGGAGAGTTTCAATGGAGCTAAAAAAGGAGTAGCAATAATGTTGTAGGATAAGCTATGGCAGGAAAAGAGGGACTACAAATGCATAAATTCAAGGATTATGTGGAGTAAAATAAAGATTGGATGTGAAAAGTGGGTTATAGTAAGCGTGTATGCACCTGGAGAAGAGAGAAGTGTAGAGGAGAGAGAGATTCTGGGAAATGTGGAGTGAATGCATGGGGAGTTTTGAATCAAGTGTGAGAGTAATGGTGGTTGGGGATTTCAATGCTAAAGTGGGTAAAAATGTTTTGGAGGGAGTAGTAGGTAAATTTGGGGTGCCAACAGTAAATGTAAATGGGGAGCCTTTAATTGAGCTATGTGTAGAAAGAAATTTGGTAATAAGTAATACATATTTTATGAAAAAGAGGATAAATAAATATACAGTGGACCCCCGGTTAACGATATTTTTTCACTCCAGAAGTATGTTCAGGTGCCAGTACTGACCGAATTTGTTCCCATAAGGAATATTGTGAAGTAGATTAGTCCATTTCAGACCACCAAACATACACATACAAACGCACTTGCATAAATACACTTACATAATTGGTCGCATTCGGAGGTAATCGTTATGCGGGGGTCCACTGTACAAGGTATGATGTAGCACGTAATGAAAGTAGTTTGTTAGATTATGTATTGGTGGATAAAAGGTTGATGGGTAGGCTCCAGGATGTACATGTTTATAGAGGGGCAACTGATACATCGGATCATTATTTAGTTGTAGCTACAGTTAGAGTAAGAGGTAGATGGGAAAAGAGGAAGGTGGCAACAACAAGTAAGAGGGAGGTGAAAGTGTATAAACTAAGGGAGGAGGAAGTTCGGGCGAGATATAAGCGACTATTGGCAGAAAGGTGGGCTAGTGCAAAGATGAGTAGTGGGGGGGTTGAAGAGGGTTGGAATAGTTTTAAAAATGCAGTATTAGAATGTGGGGCAGAAGTTTGTGGTTATAGGAGGGTGGGGGCAGGAGGAAAGAGGAGTGATTGGTGGAATGATGAAGTAAAGGGTGTGATAAAAGAGAAAAAGGTAGCTTACGAGAGGTTTTTACAAAGCAGAAGTGTTATAAGAAGAGCAGAGTATATGGAGAGTAAAAGAAAGGTGAAGAGAGTGGTGAGAGAGTGCAAAAGGAGAGCAGATGAAAGAGTGGGAGAGGCACTGTCAAGAAATTTTAATGAAAATAAGATAAAATTTTGGAGTGAGTTAAACAAGTTAAGAAAGCCTAGGGAAAGTATGGATTTGTCAGTTAAAAACAGAGTAGGGGAGTTAGTAGATGGGGAGAGGGAGGTATTAGGTAGATGGCGAGAATATTTTGAGGAACTTTTAAATGTTAAGGAAGATAGGGAGGCGGTAATTTCATGCACTGGCCAGGGAGGTATACCATCTTCTAGGAGTGAAGAAGAGCAGACTGTAAGTGTGGTGGAGGTACGTGAGGCATTACGTAGAATGAAAGGGGGTAAAGCAGCTGGAACTGATGGGATCATGACAGAAATGTTAAAAGCAGGGGGGGATATAGTGTTGGAGTGGTTGGTACTTTTGTTTAATAAATGTATGAAAGAGGGGAAGGTACCTAGGGATTGGCGGAGAGCATGTATAGTCCCTTTATATAAAGGGAAAGGGGACAAAAGAGATTGTAAAAATTATAGAGGAATAAGTTTACTGAGTATACCAGGAAAAGTATACGGTAGGGTTATAATTGAAAGAATTAGAGGTAAGACAGAATGTAGAATTGCGGACGAACAAGGTGGTTTCAGAGTGGGTAGGGGATGTGTAGATCAAGTGTTTACATTGAAGCATATATGTGAACAGTATTTAGATAAAGGTAGGGAAGTTTTTATTGCATTTATGGATTTAGAAAAGGCATATGATAGAGTGGATAGAGGAGCAATGTGGCAGATGTTGCAAGTATATGGAATAGGTGGTAAGTTACTAAATGCTGTAAAGAGCTTTTATGAGGATAGTGAGGCTCAGGTTAGGGTGTGTAGAAAAGAGGGAGAATACTTCCCGGTAAAAGTAGGTCTTAGACAGGGATGTGTAATGTCACCATGGTTGTTTAATATATTTATAGGTGGGGTTGTAAAAGATGTAAATGCTAGGGTGTTCGGGAGAGGGGTGGGATTAAATTATGGGGAATCAAATTCAAAATGGGAATTGACACAGTTACTTTTTGCTGATGATACTGTGCTTATGGGAGATTCTAAAGAAAAATTGCAAAGGTTAGTGGATGAGTTTGAGAATGTGTGTAAAGGTAGAAAGTTGAAAGTGAACATAGAAAAGAGTAAGGTGATGAGGGTATCAAATGATTTAGATAAAGAAAAATTGGATATCAAATTGGGGAGGAGGAGTATGGAAGAAGTGAATGTTTTCAGATACTTGGGAGTTGACGTGTCGGCGGATGGATTTATGAAGGATGAGGTTAATCATAGAATTGATGAGGGAAAAAAGGTGAGTGGTGCGTTGAGGTATATGTGGAGTCAAAAAACGTTATCTATGGAGGCAAAGAAGGGAATGTATGAAAATATAGTAGTACCAACACTCTTATATGGATGTGAAGCTTGGGTGGTAAATGCAGCAGCGAGGAGACGGTTGGAGGCAGTGGAGATGTCCTGTCTAAGGGCAATGTGTGGTGTAAATATTATGCAGAAAATTCGGAGTGTGGAAATTAGGAGAAGGTGTGGAGTTAATAAAAGCATTAGTCAGAGGGCAGAAGAGGGGTTGTTGAGGTGGTTTGGTCATTTAGAGAGAATGGATCAAAGTAGAATGACATGGAAAGCATATAAATCTATAGGGGAAGGAAAGAGGGGTAGGGGTCGTCCTCGAAAGGGTTGGAAAGAGGGGGTAAAGGAGGTTTTGTGGGTGAGGGGCTTGGACTTCCAGCAAGCGTGCATGAGCGTGTTAGATAGGAGTGAATGGAGACGAATGATACTTGGGACCTGACGATCTGTTGGAGTGTGAGCAGGGTAATATTTAGTGAAGGGATTCAGGGAAACCGGTTATTTTCATATAGTCGGACTTGAGTCCTGGAAATGGGAAGTACAATGCCTGCACTTTAAAGGAGGGGTTTGGGATATTGGCAGTTTGGAGGGATATGTTGTGTATCTCTATACGTATATGCTTCTAAACTGTTATATTCTGAGCACCTCTGCAAAAGCAGTGATAATGTGTGAGTGTGGTGAAAGTGTTGAATGATGATGAAAGTATTTTCTTTTTGGGGATTTTCTTTCTTTTTTTTGGGTCACCCTGCCTCGGTGGGAGACGACCGACTTGTTGAAAAAAAAAAAAAAAAAAAAAAATGAAGAAAGAGATCATTGCTAAGTATGAAAGTGGAGTGCATGTCTCCAAGCTGGCCAGGCTGTACACAAAACCCCAATCAACCATCGCTACTATTGTGGCCAAGAAAACGGCAATCAAGGAAGCTGTTCTTGCCAAAGGTGCAACTATGTTTTCGAAACTGAGATCGCAAGTGATAGAAGATGTTGGTAGACTGTTATTGGTATGAATAAACGAAAAACAGATAGCAGGAGATAGCATCTCTCAAGCGATCATACGTGAAAAGGCTAGGAAGTTGCATGACGGTTTAATTAGAAAAATGCCAGCAACTAGTGGTGATGTGAGTGAATTAAGGCCAGCAAAGGTTGGTTTGAGAGATTTAAGAATCGTAGTGGCACACATAGTGTGATAAGGCATGGTGAGGCTGCCAGTTTGGACCAAAAAGCAGCTGAAAAATATGTGCAGGAATTCAAGGAGTACATAGACAGTGAAGGACTGAAACCTGAACAAGTGTTTAATGGTGACACTGACAATGTTGTGAAACACTTTAGGAATGTCATAAAGGAACGGGAGGTACAGGCCTCTATGGGCAGATATGTTGTGGGACAGAGGTCCAGTGACTCAAGCTGGTCCTAGTGCATTAAAAGAAGGGAAGTAACCCGGAAAAAGGACTTGCCACCTCAAGTCCTAATGGAAGGGGATTCCCCTTCTAAACACTAAGACCATCAACACACTCCCCTCTTCCCATCCCATCAATCATCATCAGATCTTCAATAAAGGTAAGTGTCATGTAACTGTGCATGTCTTCTTCAGTTTGTGTGTATTAAAATTTAATATTTCATGTGTTAAAATTTTTTTTTTTTCAATGCTTTTGGGTGTCTTGCACGGATTAATTTGATTTCCATTATTTCTTAGGGGGAAAATTAACTTGACTAACGATTATTCTGACTAACGATGAGCTCTCAGGAACGGATTAATAGCGTTAGTCGAGGGTCCACTGTACTTTAAATACGGTTTAGTATATTTGCTGTTTGGAGTGACATCTGAACTGTTGTATCTGAGTGCCTCTGCAAAGACAATGATTATGTATGAGTGATGGTGAAAAAAAATTCTTGGATCACCCTGTGTTGGTGGGAAATGGTCAATGAATTAAAAAAAAAAAATTTTTATATTGGTGATAATGTCAGTTGTGATTTGCAACTAATCCACAAGTTGGGGATAGACAAGTTCTGTTGGTGTCGGAAGGTGCATACTTTTGCTTTGTCTATCAGAGAAGGGTGTTGCCTGTTTTATTAATGTATTTTTAATATCCAGAGAACAAAAGGTGTTACATTAATAGCTTTTGTCTTTTGGATTCATTCCTACATATTTTCCTCTTAATTGTCAAGAATTAATGTTAAGGTTGATGCTTCTGTTCAGTTCTTCTCTGAAGTATCTCTCATAAACAATTTTTCATAGTCATATACATATGGGCCCCACTTATACAGCAGGTTAGATTTTGGGCTGCTGCTGTTGAGTGAAACTTAACTTTTTTTTTTTTTTACTTCCAAATGCATGTAAAAGCTTGATATCATGTTTACACTGTCATATATTAAGTGAGCAGTAGAGCTAGACCTAAAAAATGCATATACAACTACATACCTTAAATTTTTTTCATCCTTAGCTTATAGTGAGTGGTGAATATATTTATTGTAGGAAGTCGGAATAAATGATGAATGCGTATAATTGAAAACCACTGTATTAGTGAAATGTCAAAGCGAAGTGCTGTAAAGTGGGGGCTCTCCTGTACCCTGGTAATTTACCTCGGTAATTCTTAGTTACGACTTTCTCAGTCATGTAAATGACCTTATGATTACAATACGTATGTTATTGAGAACACGATTAATTCCAGTAAAATGTTAAGTTATTAGTTACATTAATATGGTAGCAAAGTTGCAGAATTTATTATTTTTCTTCACTCCTAATTTGAAGGAGCAATTGTCCACAGTTGCCATTGTTAGGTACTGTAATTTGTTTTGGGTGAAAAGCTCATCAGTACAAATTTTTTCATTCAGTAATATTATTGTAGTCGCATTTTTGTGTTGTAATTTGTACATGAAATATATTTTTTTTCTGTTCCTGTCTTGAAAACAAGGATTCTTTGCTGTAAACGGTATTTGGGAATAGTATATTCTTTTCCACAGAGATAGGAGCATTAACTGCAGTAAATGCTTCTGTCATCAAGGGTAATGTAGCTGAGACAATGTCAGCACTTGGACACCCAGCTCTTCAATTGTCCTCTCTTCATGCTAAGGATTCTCTACATTACTACCAACTTCTAAAGGTATAATGCTACCCAGGAGGACTCTCCCAAAGTACAAGGTTTAATTATGTAATGCTAGGCCTTAGAGTATTTTTTTTTTTAAGACTGCAAATGGAGTTGAATTTTTTGAACAGATTTTATCATACAAAAGTTGACTAGTGGTTTTCTCCATTGGATGGGAGTTCTTTAACCCTTTGACTGTTTTGGTCGTATATATACGTCTTACGAGCCATTGTTTTTGACGTATATATACTCATAAATTCTAGTGGCTTCAAATCAAGCAGGAGAAAGCTGGTAGGCCCACATGTGAGAGAATGGGTCTGTGTGGTCAGTGTGCACCATATAAAAAAAATCCTGCAGCATGCAGTGCATAATGAGAAAAAAAAACTCTAACCATTGTTTTTAATTACAATGTTGACTTTGTGGTATATTTTCATATAGTATTTATGGTTGTATTCTCGTTTTCTTGGTCTCATTTGATAGAATGGAAAACATATTATAGAAACAGAAGTGATTTTGATTGGTTTTACTATGAAAAGAACCTTGAAATGGAACTCAAAGTAGGGGAAATATTTGATTTTTGCTGATGTTCAGAGGTAAACAAATGATGTCATTTTCCAATAAGTGTCCAAGTAGCCATTCTAATATGCAGTCATGAATGGGTTGACATTATACAATTGTCTGCATAACAGTAAATCTGTTTTTGTTTGAATAAAAATTCAAAATAGAAAGCAAGAGTAATATCAGAAGGGCCTGGAGATATGACTGAAGAACAAAGAAAATGTTATTTTAGAGCCAGGAATGTCTACATTGTTCATTCTGGACCCTATTTTGAAATTGTTATATTTTCTAATTTTCATGAAATTGGCCAAATTGCAAATTTCTGACCACGTTACTGGGTAGTTGAAATTGGTAAATGGGCAGTTTCTTGTACTCGATTGATAGAAAAAATGGAGTTCTAAAGAAATGGCCGAGTTTGGTCGACTGGAACAGTGGAATTAGACGAAAATAGGGCTCAAAGTGGGCGAAATCGCCTATTTGTAAATATCGCCGAGGTTGCTAACTTTGCGAGAGTGTAATTCCATCAGTTTTCGATCAAATTTCATTCTTTTGGTGCCATTGCAATCGGGAAAAGATTCTCTTATCATTTCATAATATTTTTTTTTTTTTTTTTTTTTTTTTGCTGCACGGCACCAGGAGACCTCAGGATTTGGGGTTGCGGCAGTCAAGGAGTTGAGACATCCACCTATTCAATGATATGAATGGACTGCTCAAAGTAGTAATTACCCATATTTGTTAACCAGTTTGCTTTTTAAAGTAGATTAGTAAAATATGGTTATACAGTTGGAATATGCTTGCTTGCTCTTATTTCATTCAACCACTGATTTAGAAGAAAGATTAAAATATTGTAATGTCTTAATCATTATTTTCATAAGCAATATTTACAGTGAGGACAAAAAAAAAAAAAAAGCAAAATGTATTTGAATGCAGTGAATGAGAGAATTACTTACAAATAGTATGAATGGTGTTTTTTTAAGGGGGGTTACCCTGCCTTGGTAGATGGCCAGTATGTTTAAAAAAAAAAAAAAAAAAAAAAAATCTTGATCACTGTGTGGATATCAGTGGAGCAATAATCTGCGCTCACACTAACATTTTAAGAAGAAATTACTTGTAGGAACTTTTTTTAAAAACTTAATTCTATGCAAATTAAGATAATTTTTTTACTCGTCTCTTTAAAGTTGCTTAGAAATGCTAAATGTGAAATGCTGGGAGATAGTGCAGCAGAACTGTGGCTCGAGGACATTGAGGAAGTTGTTGATGCAGTAAGAAGACATGCAGAAGAATCGGCCAAAATTGCAGCTACACTGACCAAGGTTAACAAAGCTCTGGAAAGTGGAGATAATTCTGCTCTTGCTGATGTCCTTGGGTAATTAAGTATTGCATTATTTTGCTGTAAATTAATAGCCTTAATATGTGAGAAGTTGAGCGAATGTGGTTCATTATTCATCTGTTTCCTTACCTTTATTAATAGGTACCTTAGTATCTCTTACCAATACTTAGTATTGTAAAGCCATAAAACCATGCAGTAGTTTAATAAAACTGTAAATTTTTCAAATCGTGGAATTTTTTTTGTTTATTTACTTTTGAAAACTCTTGTACAGTCCAACACTATTCCTGACCAGCACTCATTATTAATATTGTGATGTAAAAAGTAAAACAAACAATATACGACATGTAATAATAGGGTTGTATTTCATAAATCTGTAAAGTAATTCCAACTTTTGTAGTTTAAGTACAGGAATGTACAATTTACTTTGGCAGCACCTCCCCCCCCCCCCTCCTCATTTTTTCTCGCACACAGTGATAAGATTGAGGAGGCTGTATAAAATAGTTAACATAATTTTACTTCACATCTGGAGTGTGATCCTATCTCAACAGGATGACTGGAGGCAGTCAGGAACAAGGAAACCCCTTGAATGCCATGTTTTTTCTTGCCAGACACATGCTTACCTTGGGTGTAAAAGGGTTTTTGGAACGAAGCTTCAAATAGGGACCTGTTATCCATGTCCAGTTATTGGTATAGAAAAAAAAAATCCCAAACATTTAATGCTTGGAGTTTATATGAACTGGTACACCAGTATGAGTTACACAAAATCTCAGTGTGATATCCCATAAAAGCAATGAGCTGGTCTTGGCAACTTTGAACCAAAGTGTAACCTCCTACTACTGGCTAATGTAAATTTGTGCCATACACTTCCAGTGAAGGCCAGTCTTGATAATGAACACTGTTGGTCAAGGTACTGTTCTTCTGTTTTATGGTCAAATTTAACCCTTTCAGGGTTGGTGCCGTACTAGTACGGCTTGCACGCCAGGGTTTGTGCTGTACTAGTACGCATAAATTCTAGTGCCTTCAAGTCTAGCGAGAGAAAGCTGGTAGGCCTACATATGAAAGAATGGGTATGCGGTCAGTGTGCACAGTATAAAAAGAATCCTGCAGCACACAGTGCATAACGAGAAAAAAAAAACTCCGTATTTTTTCTTTAAAACAGTGACTTTGCAGTGTATTTTCGTATGCTATTTATTATTGTATTCTGGTTTTCCTGGTCTCATTTTATAGAATGGAAGACATATTACAGAAATTGAGATAATTTTGATTGGTTTCACAATGAAAAGTACCTTGAAATTGAGCTCAAAGTAGCAGAAATGTTCGATTTTTGGCAAAGTTCAAAAGTAAACAAATCATGCCACACATCCAATACACGTTAACTGGCGAGTCTAATATTCTTTCACAAGTGTGCTGATATTATTTATACCATTTCTACTCTAATGTAGTAGTCTGCATAACAGTAAATCTATTATTTTGAGAATAAAAATTCAAAGTGGAAAGCAAAAGAAATGTAAGAGGCCTGGGGACGTGACTAATGAACGGAAAAAATGTTTTTAGTGCCAGGAATGTCTGTCTTGTTTATTCTGGACCCTATTTGGAAATCGGCATTTTTTGAAATTTGTGTGAAATTGGCAAAATTGCCAATTTCTGACCACTTTATTAGTTGAAATCGGTAAATGGGTGGTTTCTTGTACTCGTTCGATAGAAAAAATAGGGCTCCGGGCGAAATTGCCGATGCGTAAACATTGTCGAGATCGCTAAGTTCACGAGAGCATAATTCCATAAGTTTTCCATCAAATTTCATACTTTTGATGTTATTATGATCAGGAAAAGATTCTCTAACATTTCATAAGAAAAAATTATTTTTTTTCGAACAATTTCCGACCCTGAGAACAAGTTTAGGAGAGGGCCTGCCGATCCTGAAAGGTTTAATGTTGGAGTTTATTGCACTTTTTTATTTGACAGAACACCTAGGAATCTTTGGTACTTTGTAGGCACACCTTTCTGCTTAGTCACAAATTGCATGGATCTTGTGCCCTCTTGCTTTGATTCGTTGTCACCAGTACTACACCCGTAGACTGGTTAAGCATAGCTTCATTTTTCTGAATTGTATGAATCTTTGATTTATTCTGTCCACATTTACATGGCATGTCTGCCAATTCTATGCTATTTGTATCTTATCTGAGATCTGTAATTTCTTATGTTTTGTTGTAGATTCTCATGTAAGGTAGGAAAAGGGTTGGTAAACATGAAGCAAATGATGCAGTAGAGGTGGCAGAGTTTTGTGGGGATAAAAGAAGTATTGGAGGTAAGCTTTCCAAGGCGATCATGGCATGTAAACAGCCCAAGGTTTAAGCAAGGCAGTGAGGCACATGTAATTTAAAATACTTATTTTTCACATAGACTTCATGGCATCCTGTCAAGAAAAAGTAGTCTAGCATGTGGTTTCATTGTATAAAACATGTCTTGGAAATCCCATAAAAACACTGTACAAGAGTTTTATTTGTAGCTTAAAGTACATATGGTATAACTGTTAAAATGCTGTTCTTACAGGTCTCCCATTTTATCAAATCTACATATTAAAAAAAATTATATGTTGGGTGTTCTTACACTTTTGAGGAAAGCATATAGAGAAAAGGATGTCCTCTCTCCCAAATGTCCATGGATTCCGTACACCTTGAGTGATGGCTCTGAGGTTAGTCTTTGTTGTTTTTCTCTTGTTTAATATTGACACACTGAACTGCAACTTTCTCAGAGTTCAGCCATTGTACCCCACTCATCTTTCAAAATTTCGTTATAGATATTACCTTACTCAAACTTGTCAGCATGTCAAATTGAATAGGTCACTTGTCTACACTGAAGTTTAAACTTGCATATGTCTGTTGAATGTCCAAGGCCCTATCTCTAAAACCTCTTTTTACCTTCCCTCCATCTTCAGACATTCTCTATGCCCTATTTCATTCTTTATGCATGCCCAAATGATCTCTCCAACTCTGTTTAAAGTTCAGTTTTTTATACCATGATACCCTCTACTTTCTTCATTGCTTATTCTCTGCAAAGCTTTCACATCTTACAAGGAGTTTGAAGAGACATTTCCATTACCTCCAACCTCTTTGCTGTAGCATTCAGAAATAATTCTAGAGCATTATGCAATAATTTGTGATTAATCTACAATATAGTACCTTACTCTGATGCATTCTCATTTGTCTATCCATTGATATGTAGGGAGAATGTGAGGGGAAAGTATGGGCAATTGTACTATGCTTAATACTGTTTGATACTCTTTGTGGATTAAGAGTTTATTAATACTGTAACATACTGGTGAACTATACTAGTGTTTTGTGAGTAGGATGAACCTATTTTCACTATTCATTAGAGATTATTTAAATTTGAATGTATTGGTGTTATATCATGCAAAATTTGTTGCAGGTATTCTTAAACTTAGAATCTAGTGAATATCAGTGGGAGAAACCAGAGATGATGATTAGGAGCCACAAGAGCCAATACATTACACAGGTGGACCTTGAGGAAGCTGTATCATGTGTCATCCAACAAGAGGCTCGCAATAGGGAGGTTGGTTTTTCTTTGATGTACATTATATAGTCTTAATTTTTTTTTTTTTTTTTTTTTTTTTTTTTACACTTCAGCCATTTGGTCATTTAGAGAGGATGGAACAAAGCAAAATGACTTGGAGGGCATATAAATCTGTAGGGGAAGGAAGGTGGGGTAGGGGTCATTGTTAGACAGTGAATAGAGACAGATGGTTTTTGGGACTTGATGAGCTGTTGGAGTGTAAGCAGCGTAATATTTTGTGAAGGGATTCAGGGAAACCAGTTAGCCAGACTTTAGTCCTGGAGGTGGGAAGTACAATGCCTGCACTTTAACCCTTTGAGGGTCGACAGGCCCTCTCCGAAACTCGTTCTCAGGGTCGGCCAAATTTCAAAAAAAAAAAAAAAAATTATTTTTTCTTATGAAAAAATAGTTTTTTTTTTTTCTAAATATTATAGGCTAAAAAAAAAAAATTTTACCGTCAATACTTACCGAGATATGGAGGCGTGAAGTTTGCCAAAATTGAACAACATCTGGTAACATCGCCGACTGCCATCACCCGGTATTTTTCTATTTACTTTTTTATGTACTATTTTCAATTATTTTTCGTTTTTTATTTTTCTGAGTAACTTTTATGGCCTCTGAGGCCAACATGATCAGTATTTTGTAAGTTATTTCTTTTTCAATACTACACAATAAGGGCATAAATACTGTTGTCATTATTTTGTTTACAAAAAATATTTACACAAACAAATGATATGAAATGTTGCTTATTACTATTTTTCTATATTTTATATACACATATACAGTCACAGGGAATGTTTCTAGAAGTTCTGCAGCCTGTGGAACTCTTTGAAACATGGTGTCATGCACAGTGGTGTTTTACACTCCTCACACATAAAACGAGTGTCTCTGCGTTGTTGTGGGCGTTTTTTTGTACGTGAACAGATGTAACACCTCTTCTGAGCCTTTTTCTTGAAAGCAGCAGCAGGCACTTTTACCAGGAAGTGATCACCATGCTTCAGACGAGCAGGTAGTTGTTGATAATTTGGTGGGCGGTCAATTGCAGGTGCTGTTCCTTGGTACTTGAATACTATTTGTCTGATGACAGACAAAGAGAATTCGCCGTACTGTGGTTTGTTTCTGGTCCTCATCTTATACATATTATAAGCATTGAGCATGGAAATGTCCAGAAGATGGAAAAACAGTTTGATGTACCACTTATAACTCTTGCGAACACAATCAGCAAACCTAATCTGCATGTCACATTTGTCCACTGAACGCATATTGAAGGTGTAATCAATCACAGCTGCAGGTTTTAGAATGGGTTCATTGCTCTCTCTATGCTGCCTGCCACTGTCTGCCATTTCATTAGGGTGAACTGATGACAACAGTGTGACATCTCGTTTGTCATGCCACCGAAATGCCATGATGTCATTGGCAGCAAACGCCTGCACCTCACCTCTACGAGTGCCAGCGTCAAACCTGGGCATATGTTTCCGATTTGCACGCACTGTGCCACACACATCTGTCATGTTCACTCGCAAAAAATCAGAGTGAGGGGCTTGTGTACCAGTTACCTGTATATAATATATGCCCCTTACCAAGGTATGGTTCTATCATTGTTCTAACCACATCACCAGAGATGCCCAATAACTTCCTGGTATTTTGCAATGTATAACTTCCAGTGTACACAATAATATCCAATTCCAGACCACTGTAACAATCACAAAGCACAAACAACTTTATACCAAAGCGTTTCCTCTTGCTATGTACTGCTTGAAAGAGAGTCTTCCTTTGAACAGAATCAAAGACTCGTCAATTACAAGCTTCCTGAAAGGATAAAAATGCGTACTGAATTTCTTTCAGATACACAAACACATTCCTAATCTTATATAACCTGTCAGTTCTGTCAGGCCTGGTTTTGTCTGAGAAATGAAGCATACGTAACATTAGCACAAATCGATTCACTGGCATTATGTCACTGAAACCTGGGGTTGCAATCAGGTGGTCTGTTGACCAGTATGATTTCACTTTGTGCTTATACACATATGGCATAAGCATTATTGTGGCAAAGAAAAGATACATCTCAGCCACAGTTACCTCCTTCCACTGGTGTAGACGTGATTTTGGTGAAAGTAATGTGTTTGTCATGGTGTACTCGTAGTACGTGTTGCTTTCCATGACAATACTTTCCATCAGTTCGTCAAAGAATAACTCGAAACATTCCAGTTCAGTGGCATTGTTCCCAAGTGTACAAGATGGCCGTATTCCACTTTGGCTGTCATCAAACTGGTGGGCATTTGGAACAAAATTGACAGCTTCCTGCCAATCCCAGGTGCGGTCTGCTGGTGGGTACTGGACAACGACAGGTGGTTGTGGTTGTGGAGGTTGTGGTTGTGGAGGTTGTGGTTGTGGAGGTTGTGGTTGTGGAGGCTGGTGTGGTGGGTGGGTGGGGGATGGTGGCCTTTGTTGTAGATCAGCTGAGGCAGCGGCGTGGGTGGCAGCGTGGCCCACTGCTGGTGCCTCACCGCCGGCACCACTACCACCATGCACATTTTCCATCCCAATTGCAACAGTATCATCGTCATTTTCACTGTCTGTTCCTGTTGTACAGCCATGGGATGTACTCCGAGATGCACTCCTTTCCCTTGGAATAGCATATGGCACACTACCAGAGTGCATATATCGTCGTATATACTGACGCTTCACTGGGGAATATTGCACTTCACTATCACTACTGGAACTAGTTTGAAGAGCTTGTAGTTCATATTCACTATCACTATCATCACCCATGCTCTCATCTGAGTCTGGGATTTGGGGAAATAGAAGTTTCCTCTTGGATTCTGGTACAACTGAACGTGAACAAGACGGCCCAGCACCAGAGGTGGAAGGCTGAGGGTCGTCTGGGTTTTCCTCACTATTACCGATATTATGGTCATTAGTTTCGGTCAAAACCTCACCAAAACCTTGAAACTCATCTTCACTGGCACTTCCATCTGTATTAGAACTGTCACTGGGGAACAAAAGTGTCCCAATTCGCCGAGGAGTGAGGAGCTTCTTACCGGGTGGCATGGTGGACATTGTTTACTAAGATGGCGTTCCCACAATGCACCACTGGGTCCCAGACTTTTTTTCTACCACGCACACCGACCACGCAGACCCATTCTCTCACATGTAGGCCTACCAGCCTTTTCCCGCGAGATTTGACGGCGCTAGAATTTGTGCGTACTAGTACGTCAAAAACCCCTGCGCGTAAGACGTACTAGTACGTCCGAAACCCTCAAAGGGTTAAAGGAGGGGTTTGGGATATTGGCTGTTTGAAGTGACATCTAAACTGTCATATCTGAGGACCTCTGCAGACAGTGATTACATACGAATGATGGTGAAAGTGCTGAATGATGATGAAAGCTTTTTTTCTTTTTGGGTTTATCTTTGTTTGGGTCACCCTGCCTCTGTGTAAAAACAGCCGATGTGTTAAAAAAAAAAAATTAATGTGATTTTTAATTTTGCTTCTTCAGTGAGGTGAAGGCAGTGGAGATGTCTGAGGGCAATCAGTGGTGCAAATATTATACAGAGAATTCTTAGTTTGGAGATTAGGAGGAGGTGCAGGGCTACTAAATGTATTATCTAGAGGGCTAAGTAGGGGTTACTGAGGTGGTTTGGACATTTAGAGGATGAAGCAAAATAGAATGACTTGGAGAGTGTATAAATCTATAGTGGAGAGAAGGAAGGGAAGGGGTTGTCCTAGGAAAGGTTGAAATGAGCGGGTAGAGGAGGTTTTGTATGCGAGGGACTTGGACATCCAACAGCTGTGTGTGAACTTGTTAAATAGTGAGTGGAGGCAAATTGTCTTATGGCTTGATGTGCTGTTGAAGTGTGAGGAAGGTAAAATTTCATTTATGAAGTGATTCAGGGAAACTGATTAGCTGGATTTGAGTCCTGCAGGTGGGAAGTAGTGCCTGCACTGTAATTTTTTTTGGGGTGGGGGGGGGGGGGGAAATCACTCAACCTTGATGGTAAACAGCCAGTGTGTTAAAAAGTGATGCATAATAAATTGCAATTTATTCTGTCCTTAATTTAGTCAAGGTAGGAAATTTCTCTGAAAGTGTGATGCACTAGATGAAGGTTTAGATGTAAATAGAATGAGAAAAGATATTGTGGATATTACCCTAAAACTGTCCAAACGTAGATTTATGTTCATACGCGTAGCGCTCCGAACGTGGATCTATGCTCGATTTTACGTTCTTTTGTAAAAAAAGAAACTTAGATCTATGTTCGGAGTGCTACCCATATGAACGTAGATCTACGTTTGGACAATTTAAGGGTTAAAAGTATTGTTTTATGTACACTTTATATTAAATTTTAATGATGGGTTGTCAATATTTGGGAGTTGCTCGATATATTTGTTTTAATCTAAACTGTCATATCTGGCATCTCTACAAAGACAGTAATTATGTGAATGATGGTGAAAGTGTTTCTTTTTTGGGTCACTCTGCCTTGGTAGGAGACAGCTGACGTTTTAAAAAAAAAAAAAAAAAAAAAAAAAAAAACTTAGACTTTAAACAATTGTTTTTAATTTAGTTAATCTTTTATTCAGGTGGATTGCATGATGATAAAATTCCAGGCCAGGGCTCGAGGTTGGCTGATAAGGCAGCGCATACAGAGGCAGAAATGTGCTGCAGTTATTATACAGGTTGGACCTACTACTGTAATTTTATTTGGTTAAGTGAGATTCATTATAATTTTTTATACATTTGGTTTTGGAGTTTTTGAAAAGGGAATCCAGTTTTCTGATCTGCCTCTTAACTTTCAGTTGCCTGGCATGACACTTTATCTGCATTTGAACCTGGAAAACTTAGTTTCACATGTTTAATGTATTTCCTTATCCATGCTAATATTCTTATAACAATTGTGCTAAAGTCTACATCCTTAAATTCAGCCTCCACAAATTTGAATTTGTCAAATGGACAAATTCAACTCTTATTACATGGACCCAGATCAGGTGATCCCAGCCCACAATAATAAGGTACATGCAATATTTATAGCTTTCCTCTTGTATATTTATCTGCTGGAGAGAACTTCAGAGGTTGAAATATACATTCCCTCATTTATAGTTTCATTTGTCTCCAAGTGGGTTTCCTTGCTCCCATTGACATGTAATCCTTAGGTCTGTTCTAAGTTGGTATAACGTTGGCTGAGTCACCTTATGTTTGTAACATGCATTAATATATCTTGAATTTTATTACACCTTCTGCAAGGTAGTGGTATAGATGAACACTGACATCATCTTCCAAGGTAGTTATCTCAATATGTCTACTTGCTTTTATCTGGTGACTCAATTCTGCTTGGCTTGGGAGCAAGATGATGATTAAATTACTGCCTGTTAGTAAGATCATCCCTCTCTGATTAGGCTGTTCCCTAATGTTGGTCAACAAAATTAATGGATCATCCTGCTTGGTAATAGTAGTAGTATAATAGTAGTATAGTGGTAATAATAGTTGTATAGTATTAGTAGTAATAGTTGTATAGTAGTAATAGTATAATAGCTGTATAGTAATAGTATAATAGCTGTATAGTAGTAGTAGTAGTATAATAGCTGTATAGTAGTAGTAGTATAATAGCTGTATAGTAGTAGTAATAGTATAATAGCTGTATAGTAGTAGTAATAGTATAATAGCTGTATAGTAGTAGTAGTAGTATAATAGCTGTATAGTAGTAGTAGTATAATAGCTGTATAGTAGTAGTAGTATAATAGCTGTATAGTAGTAGTAATAGTATAGCTGTATAGTAGTAGTAATAGTATAGCTGTATAGTAGTAGTAATAGTATAGCTGTATAGTAGTAGTATAATAGCTGTATAGTGGTAGTAATAGTATAGCTGTATAGTAGTAGTAATAGTATAATAGTTGTATAGTAGTAGTAATAGTATAATTGTATAGTAGTAGTAATAGTATAATAGTCGTATAGTAGTAGTAATAGTATAGTTGTATAGTAGTAATAGTATAGTTGTATAGTAGTAGTAATAGTATAATAGTTGTATAGTAGTAGTAGTATAATAGTTGTGTAGTAGTATAATTGTACTATAATTGTATAGTAGTAGTATAATTGTATAGTAGTAGTATAATAGTATAGTAGTAGTATAGTGACAGTAATAGTATAGTAGTAGTGGTGATGGTTGTTGAACAAAACAGCAACAAAAATACACTGTCTGGGAACATTGGGGTTCCGTAGACAAGTAAAACAATTAGGCATATCACCGAAATAACCATTCAGAAATAGGGATGTCTGAAGCATCTTCATATTGAACCCAAGGATGGTAAGCTAGTATGCATCTCAGGTACATGGCTATGCCTTATTAAAGTGGGACTGGGTTTCCCTGGAAATACACTTCCATCATTTATAATCTCCACCCGAAGTAGTGATTATTTTGTAGATCACTAAACTGACTGCACTGGGCTTCAACTTTGTTTAAACTTAAAATTGCATTATCACACTGTTGAAAAATATGGAAAATCAAATAAGGTACTTCTACACAAAAAGTAATGGACAGCTGAGATGTGCTTAGGAGGTAGCATTATATGCTGTGACTTAAGGAAACAAATATTAGATACATTACTGTAATTGGTTGGTGGACAGCATCTGTCTAGGAAGGTACTGCCATCCTGTCGTAGGAGTGTGAAATGGAAGCCTGTTAAGTACATGCTCTGATGGGATTGCTGGTCATCATCATTGTCTGATGAACATGGAACATATACAAGGACAGGTTAATCTTGAAGTCTTTTGCTTTCCTACAGTAAATACATAGTTTTATTTCCATGTGTGTTTTTAATAGGTATTAGTTCCATATTAATATTATCTTAACGATTTATAAGACCTGGTTTGAAACTGGGCTGCAGTTGGGATAATCCCTGAAATCTTCACAGGTACTGGAACTGTAAATGTTACAAAACACCACAGACATAACCAAACTCTAATTACAAATAGGGAATTAGAAATGAATACTGTAATTTGTTAATTTTGCTGTATTCTCGTGTAGGAATAATGAAGTGGCTATATATAAATGTCTCATTTCTAGGCCTGGTGGCGTATGGTACGAGCTCGTCGCACATATGACATGTATTGCCGTGCATTGAAGATGTGGGAACCGTACATTATTATACTTCAGAGAGCAGTGAGAGCATGGCTGCTCCGTAGAAGGCTAATGAAATTGTCCTTGCATTTCACTAAAAATGTATGCATTAATTTTTTTCTCTTAATTGGCTCTTCTACTCTACTTGCAGTGGTGGTATATTTTATTGATCATTATGGAGTTTAGGTCCTGGTCAGAACTCACATTTTATGTAAAAAAAAAAAAAAGTATGTTATGCATACCCTGGCAACACTTATTTCCTTTACAAATTTTTCTTTTGGGAGGTAATAGCAAAAAGATTAAAAATTTGAAACTAGTAACACATTAGAGCCAATTAATGGTTAATATAGATAAAACAATGTAAATAAGTTAATTTTGTAAGCAATAAATGCTAAAATATGCGAGTGTTCCATAAACATGCATTTAAAAATTAGCTACATTTTGAAAAAAAGTTCATTTGTAAAATGGGTATTGGGGAGGTTGAAGAAAGCAGCTAAATAGGATTGACTTGTAGTTAGTGACTTTTAATTATTCATCAACAGGAGAATCAAGTAATTAAGATTCAGAGGGCATGGCGTGCTTATAAGGCTCGCCTGGATCTACATTCACTGACACACCAAGACAATCCACCCTTGTCTGTCATCCGCAAGTTCATTAATTTATTAGATGTTTCTCCAAGTGATTTAGACGAAGAGTTCCGACTGCAGGTATTGTTCGTCATACAGCACTTTTTCATTAAATAAGACCCATATTTAAGTCTAGAATTTCTACCGAGGATTTTGGGTTTGTGTCGTTTCAAATAATATACCATATGTAACGTTTTGGCTTGGTTTTTTTCTTTTACACAGATTTTTATGTCAGAATGAACTTTTCAGTTACACTAATTAGTGTCAGGCTATACTTTAGCAAAAAAAAAAAGTTAGTGATTAGTTACTGTTGGAGAAAATAATTTAATAAAAATGAAAAATAAAGTACAGTAATATATTTTTTAAATATTGGCCAAACTTACATTTTGAAAGATTTTATGAAGAACCTAGTACTAATGACATAACAAAGTTTGTGGTGAAAGCAGTTGTTCACAAGATGAGAGCTTACTCTAGTACAAAAACAAAACTGGATCTTTCACTGAAAATGAAGGGAAATCATATATATTAGTTTTTGAAGTTGAATGATAACTAAAGTTAATTTTATTAATCAGCAAGAAAGTATGAAGTATGTTTGAATATATCAAGCTATGTAGATAAATTTATTTGTAGATCTTAAAGCTGAAAGTTGTTTTCGTGTTTAATTTTTTTTTTTAAATTATATAACATTTTTCATGAATTAAATAATACTGAAAAATTCTCAAGTCTACAGCCTTTATTATATTGCTTTCAGCGAGTTAAAAGTGATATGGTGAAGACAATTCGACACACTCAACACTTGGAAACAGAGGTGGATGAGCTGGATGTCAAGATTGGATTGTTGGTCCACAATCGCATCACCTTACAGGTTAGCAGCTACAGATGTTCAGAACTTGGGTGATGACCTGCTGAGGGTAGACTTCGTTCTTTCCTTGATTTTTTTTGTCTTGTCTTATTTCACGAAAGTGGCAAGTGGCTCACATTATGAAAACCACACCAACATTTTTTTTAGTACAGTATATGTAAGCTATTGTGTGCACTAAAATTTTGATTTGGTTTGTGGTTAGTGATATGGCCTATCTTATCAACAGGATGTCCTTCCAGCAGATAAGGAAAATATGAACCCCAATGTTCCAGAATCCAAACCAAGAAAAGGCAGAAGAAACTCGAAAGACACATTGAAGTGTGGCACACTGCGAACTCAAAGAGGACTCAAGGTGTGTTTTCTAATTATATAATATTTTCTTACCTTAAGCTCAATCTAGTGTGTGTGTGTGTGTGTGTGTGTGTGTGTGTGTGTGTGTGTGTGTGTGTGTGTGTGTGTGTGTGTGTGTGTGTGTGTGTGTGTGTGTGTGTGTGTGTGTGTGCGCACGCGCGTGCCCGTGTACATGCACAGCAGATTGTTAGTTAATACACGCTCTGTTAACACCGTTGCAAAATTGTTGCATATTTTTGTAACTTGCTGTATTAATCAGTTAACATGGCAGTGTCAGTCTGTCCTGCATCTGCATAATTGATGAGGGACAGTCTTGCCTTTCTCTTTACGTTTGTCTTCACCTTCACCTATTTGGGAGTTTAGGTCCATGAGGGGTGTGGTGGCAGGTGGAAGTGTAGCGGGAATTGAATGTGTGGTTATGGGGATGACCAGAAGGGTGAGGGTATGTGGTGATTGTGTGCATGCTGTCTCTGAGTAGCATTGAGTATGGGTGATGATGGATGAGGTACTCCTTTTTTCACAAAATTGGCTGCCATGATTTATCATATAAGTTTTGTCAGTGCCCAGCACATCTTTTAGCTTTTCAATATCCTTGTTCCTTTGTTTGAGATCCTTTCCTCGTAAAGTGTCTTTACCTAACCTATCCATGCTATGGAGTATTTTAGAGTAATGTGTCTGTTCTTCCGGATATGGCATGAGCTCTAGCTTTGCAATCTTTCCTTCTAGTTCATACCTTGTAGCTCAGGTGCCAGCCTGGAAGCATCTCTGAACCTCATCAAGCCTTTGTTTGGTTAGGTGAGGGGTTTAATGTTATGGCTGCCTCCAAATAGTGTGGTTTTACAAATGGGAAAAAGATTTGTAATTGTAGTTGTGGTGTTGGTGTTTGAAAGCTATCCTTGTGTTGGACAGTAGAGCATATACAGTGGAACCTCATTTTTTGGCCGTAATCCGTTCCAGAAGGTCGGCCTAAGTTCGAAGCATTATTTCCCATAAGAATTAGTGTAAATACAATTAATCCGTTCCAGACACCCAAAAATATTTAAAAAAAAAAAAAATTTTTTAAAGATTAATTATAGTTTTACATACACAAAACAATGAGAACTAAATAAAATAAACAAATGAATATGTAAATCACTATTACATACCTTTATTGAAGACTCCTGTTGGTTTATGGAAGACAAGGGAGGAAGAGAGAGGGAAGACTGATTATTTTTTGGAAGGAGAATCCCCTTCCATAAAGACTTGAGGTATCAAAGCCTTCTCTGAGGCTTTGGTAAGCCTGTCTTTCATAGGCTTGTGTCCTGGCAGTACCTTTTCTTCCTGTGTGATGTAGGTCCTCTGGCATTTTTTTCCGAGATAATCATGTTTGTTTCAGCGTTTGTCTTACTGCACTAGTGATTTAGTGTAGTTAGCTTCTCCAAAACTTTGTTTTCTCTTATACCTCAGAAGGGGAAGCATGGGAAGCTATGGTCAGAGGGATAATTACTTAACCTCAGGAGTGATGGCAGCCACTCGCCATATGATGACATATTTTATTCATTCTAGAGTATATACCATATTTCTGTTTGTTATATTAGATCAATTGTGATAGATAAATAAGCCGTAGAGTCGTAATATTAAATAATAATCTGTCGCCTAAAGAGATTGTAAAAATTATAGAGGAATAAGTTTACTGAGTATACCAGGAAAAGTGTACGGCAGGGTTATAATTGAAAGAATTAGAGGTAAGACAGAATGTAGGATTGCGGATGAGCAAGGAGGTTTCAGAGTGGGTAGGGGATGTGTAGATCAAGTGTTTACATTGAAGCAAATATGTGAACAGTATTTAGATAGAGGTTGGGAAGTTTTTATTGCATTTATGGATTTAGAAAAGGCATATGATAGAGTGGATAGAGGAGCAATGTGGCAGATGTTGCAAGTATATAGAATAGGTGGTAAGTTACTAAATGCTGTAAAGAGTTTTTATGAGGATAGTGAGGCTCAGGTTAGGGTGTGTAGAAGAGAGGGAGACTACTTCCCGGTAAAAGTAGGTCTTAGACAGGGATGTGTAATGTCACCATGGTTGTTTAATATATTTATAGATGGGGTTGTAAAAGAAGTAAATGCTAGGGTGTTCGGGAGAGGGGTGGGATTAAATTATGGGGAATCAAATTCAAAATGGGAATTTACACGGTTACTTTTTGCTGATGATACTATGCTTATGGGAGATTCTAAAGAAAAATTGCAAAGGTTAGTGGATGAGTTTGGGAATGTGTGTAAAGGTAGAAAGTTGAAAGTGAACATAGAAAAGAGTAAGGTGATGAGGGTATCAAATGATTTAGATAAAGAAAAATTAGATATCAAATTTGGGAGGAGTATGGAAGAAGTGAATGTTTTCAGATACTTGGGAGTTGACGTGTCGGTGGATGGATTTATGAAGGATGAGGTTAATCATAGAATTGATGAAGGAAAAAAGGTGAGTGGTGCGTTGAGGTATATGTGGAGTCAAAAAAACGTTATCTATGGAGGCAGAAGGGAATGTATGAAAGTATAGTAGTACCAACACTCTTATATGAATGTGAAGCTTGGGTGGTAAATGCAGCAGCGAGGAGACGGTTGGAGGCAGTGGAGATGTCCTGTCTAAGGGCAATGTGTGGTGTAAATATGCAGAAAATTCAGAGTATAGAAATTAGGAAAAGGTGTGGAGTTAATAAAAGTATTAGTCAGAGGGCAGAAGAGGGGGTTGTTGAGGTGGTTTGGTCATTTAGAGATAATGGATCAAAGT